GGTGCGCGACCCCCTCGCCGCGCCTAGGCCGCAGCTACATTTTCATCATTTTCGTGAGGAAGCCTCAGGTAATACGATGTCATCAAGATCCGGTTGTTTTGTTCCCCCCCGCTGTCCCTTGCAAAAAACACTATAAAATGAAATTTCTTGTTCTAAAATAACCAAACTTCAAGAATCCCTTGCAAAAAATAAGGTAAAGTGGACATTCGCGCGCGCAAGACGAAATCCTTCCAAAACCTTAGTGTTCGTAGCGATTTCAACATAAAAAACATCAAAAAACCAATGGTTTAAAAAAAAAAAGTGTCACAATTTCATCCCGCGCGCTCTTGCGGATTTGCAGGAAACCCAACTTTTTTAAACATTTCTGTCAAACGGGCTTTTGCGATCAACTTCTTCACGTGCTTCGAACTTCTCCAACAACGGTTGCGCACCTGCCAGGGCCATCATCCCTGTCAAATAATACCATGCGGGACACATTCGTTTTTTCTTTCCGTGCGCACGCCGAAATCTTCAAAAACCATTGGGTTTCGTAGGAATTTTAGCACCGCGCAACATAAAATCATTTTTCGCACCGTAGGCCCTTCAAATCGTCGTCGTCGTATACTAAGCTAGTTTCCACAAGATGTTACCACAAGAAGTCATTGAAACCATGCGCCAGTGTAGTAGCCACGGTCGTCCGCATGCCACGAAGTGAAGTGTCCGAACGTCATAGGGCGGGAAGCTGGGTGTGGGTGGTGGCGAAGAGTCGTTTGGAAATGTGGTAGAGCTTGAACCGGCCCCCCCACAAAGTGGGGGTATTGGCGGGCGTCGTATGAAAACCCTGGCACTGGTGAGAACACTGAGCGTTCGGGTAAAATGATTGTTGTTGTTGTTGTTGTTGTTGTTGTTGTGTTTTGTTGTTTTGTTGTTGTGTGTTGCTTCTGCTACTGTTTGTGTTGTGGCTGCTGCTGTTGTTGTTACTGTTGCTGCTGCTTCTGCTTCTGCTGCTGCTGTTGTTGTTGTGGTTATTGTTGTTGTTGTTGTTGTGGTGGTGGTGGTGGTAGTAGTTGTTGTTGTATCCCCTGGCGATGCGGGCGTTACGGGAGGAACTTCGGACGGGCCTAAGACGAGGATCAATCCGTTCCAGAGCGTTCTGGAGCGCTCTCAGAGCGTTCTGGAACGCTCTGAGAAGGCCGCGGCGCCCGAGACATCCCCAAAGCCGCCAGAACTCAGAGATTCTCGATTTGTCCGCACCCATGTTTTCCTCGTCCTGGATCTGGCTTCGGACTGGGCAGCCACGTCACGATTTGAGCCGGCGCCGTCCAGGAGCCAGCTTGAAGTCGGGCACGTCCCTGTACAGGAGGAATATTCAAAATATTCAAAAAATAGTCTGGGGACGATTTTTGTGTTCAAAAAATATTGTTGACCAGTTTGTTTTAATATTATCTCAGTGCGACCCTACCTAGGAGTTGGAACCCCTAGGAAAGCAGCATTAGTCGTGACAGTAACGCTAAGCTAAAGCTAAGCTACAGCTAAGCTCAAGCTAAGCTAAAGCTAAGCTAAAGCTAAGCTAAAGCTAGGCTAAAGCTACGGTAAAGGCTAAGCTAAAGGCTAAGCGAACAGCTAAGCGAAACGCTAAGCTAAAGCTAAGCTACAGCTAAGCTACAGCTAAGCTAAAACTAAGCTACAGCTAAGCTAAAGCTAAGCTAAAGCTAAGCTAAAGCTAAGCTACAGCTAAGCTAAAGCTAAGCTAAAGCTAAACTAAAGCTAAGCTAAAGCTAAGCTACAGCTAAGCTCAAGCTAAGCTAAAGCTAAGCTAAAGCTAAACTAAAGCTAAGCTAAAGCTAGGCTAAAGCTACGGTGAAGGCTAAGCTAAAGGCTAAGCGAAAAGCTAAGCGAAACGCTAAGCTAAAGCTAAGCTACAGCTAAGCTAGAGCTAAGCTAAAGCTAAGCTAAAGCTAAAGCTAAAGCTAAAGCTAAAGCTAAAAGCTAAAGCTCCCAGTGGACTGGGGGGAACCGCTCCCAGGGGACTGGGGGAACCGCCTGGGGCGATTTACACTGCCCGGCCCCATTAAGCTAAGAGAGTAAGAACCCTTCTAGGCAGAGCCTAGGTAGGGAATAAATTATCCCAGTGCGGCCCTACATAGGAGTTGGAGCCCCTAGGAAAGCAGCATTAGTACGAACAGTAAAGCTAAAACTAAGCTAAAGCTAAGTTAGAATTATCCCAGTGCGACCCTACCTAGGAGTTGGAGCATTTAAGAAAGCAACATCTACATCTACACCGACAGCTACATTTACATCTACACCTGCATCTACATCTACATCTACATCAACAGCGAGACTCACATCTACATCTTAGTCTACATATGCACCTACATCTACATCTACATATACATCTACACCTACATCCACATCTACACCTACACCTACATCTACATATGCATTTTCCTAGGAGCATAGGAGGCTATGCTAGCATAGCAGGCTATGCTATGCTATGCTATGCTGCGGTATGCTACGATATGCTATGCTGCGCTATGCTATGCTATGTTATGCTGCGCTATGCTATGTTATGCTATGCTATGCTATGATATGCGATGCTGCGCTATGCTATGCTATGCTATGTTCTGCTCTGCTATGCTATGCTATGCTGCGCTATGCTGCGCTATGCTATGCTGTGCTATGCTATGCTATGCCGTGCTATGCTAAGCATTGCTATGCTATGCTATGCTATGCTGTGCTGCGCTATGCTATGCTATACTATGATATGCTTTGTTATTCTGAGCTATGCTATGTTATGCTGTGCTGTGCTATGCTATGCTTGGTCATGATATGCTATGCTATGCTGTGCTAATGCTGCGCTGCGCTATGCTGCGCTAAGCTAAGGTAAGCGAAGCTATGCTAAGCTAAGCTAAGCTAAGCTGAGCTAAGCTAGGCTAAGCTGAGCTAAACCAAGCCAAGCCAAGCTAAGCTAAGCTAAGCGAATATGAGATATGATAAGCTAAGCTAAGCTAAGCTAAGTTAAACCAAGCTAGGCTAGACAAAGCTAAGCTAAGCTAAGCTAAGCTAAGATGAGATAAGATAAGCTAAGCAAAGCTGGGTGAACCCAGGGGGCGCAACTGGGGGAACCGCGGGGCGGGGACTGGGGGAACCGCCCGGGGCGTGTTACACTGCCCGGCCCCTTTAAGCTAGAGAGTAAGAACCCTTCTAGGCAGAGCCTAGGTAGGGAACTAAACTAAAGCTAAGCTAAAGCTAAGCTAAAGCTAAGCTAAAGCTAAGCTAGCGCTAAGCTAAGCTAAGCTCAAGGTAAGCTAAAGCTAAGATGAAGCTAAGCCAAAGCTAAGCTAAAGCTAAGCTAAGGCTAAGCTAAGGCTGGGCTACCGCTAAGCTAAACCTGAGCTAAACATAAGGTGCAGATAAGCTAAAGCTAAGCTAAAGCTAGGCTAAAGCTACGGTAAAGGCTAAGCTAAAGCTAAGCTAAAGCTAAGCTAAAGCTACGGTAAAGGCTAAGCTAAAGCTAAGCCGAAGCTAAGCTGAAGCTAAGCTAAATCTAAGCTGAAGCTAAGCTAAATCTAAGCTAAAGCTAAAGCTAAGCTAAAGCTAAGCTGAGCTAAGGTGCCGCTAAACTAAAGCCAAGCTAAAGCCAAGCTAAAACTAAGCTCAAGCTAAGCTGAAGCTAAGCTAAACCTAAGCTAAAGCTAAGCTAAAGCTAAGCTTAAGCTAAGCTACAGCTAAGCTAAAGCTAAGCTAACGCTAAAGCTAAAGCTAAAGCTCTCAGGGGACTGGGGGAACCGCGGGGCGGGGACTGGGGGAACCGCCCGGGGCGTGTTACACTGCCCGGCCCCTTTAAGCTAGAGAGTAAGAACCCTTCTAGGCAGAGCCTATGTAGGGAAAAACTCTTATACCTGTCGTCCAAATCCCCCTGTAGGAGGACATGCCCGACCTAAAGCTGGTTGCTCGTTGTTTCGAGTGACTGAAAGCGAGCTCCTGGGGTTCCTCGATCGCAGGGCGGCGGCTTGCGCGCCTGGTTTCGAAGAAGAAAACCTGCATACAGGGGGGGGGCCATGCCAAGAAACACCCTGCTTGCCCCCATGGTGCCCTGGGTTTCTGGGGTTTGGATGGTCTTGCGATGGAAGGCGTGACGTTCCCACGCCAAACATCCATAGACGTCCTGGGGTCTCAGGGTTGGGTTTCTTGTGAAAGGTTTCTGGTGGACTGGCCTCCACTGCACCCACCCCCACACTCTTCCGGACCTTCCGCCTTAACCTTCCGCCCTTCTTTCGATATTCTCGATATGGGTTTCCTTGAACTGCGTAAGGTTCCCGTGAGTTTCGATGAAAATTCTTCCGCACCTTCCGCGGAGGTCGGAAGGTGTGGAGGGTGGAGGTGGGGGGTAAACAGATTTTTTTTGGATATCCGCGCAGATTGCTTGGATCGGCCCTGGACCCCTCTGGGGGCGCCTCCGGCGCCGCTCCTGGCGCGGTCCGCGCGCCAGGGGGGGGTTCAGCGCAGACCCGAGACATCCGCGCGGACCGTCAAAGATTGATGTTTGTGCCGTTCTTTGTTCCTCTGTTGGTGTGGGTCGGGTCTTTTTTGCCCAGGGTCGCTCTTGCGCACAGCCTGCTGGGGCCAGCTCGCCCAGAGGAGCGACGGGGTCGGGAGCTCCGGTCGCGATTTACGGCGCCGTGATTTTCCACCACGTCGGATGTCGGGCAAGGCCCGCCCCCCTTTGCCTTGCACAGGAGGGGGCGAGGACATGGGGCTCGTCCGTGGCTGTTTCCTCGGTCTTCGTCGACGTCGCCCCCCCTTCCCTCCCCCCGCCCTGCAGGGGGATCGGGGCAGCTGGGGGTCGTATGGGGTGGTGGGCCTGTTCTGGTGAAGCTTCGGGCTGCGCGCAGGCAGCCTCTCCGGGCAGCCCTGGCTGGCCTCAGCATGCCCTCCCCCCCCCCCGCAGACCCAGCTGGCCTGCGGATGCCGCCCGGGACTGTCTGGTGGGCGGCTGTCTGTGCGCAGCAGCCCCGAAGCCGCAACACGCCTGGCCAGGTCCGGGGTCGTGCTGGCGCCCTCGTCCGGCCTGAACTTCACCTTCGAACTCGCAGGGGGCGCGCTCCGGATTGCAGCGCCCGTCGCGCCGACACTGCAGGAGCTTTGTGGATGCCATGACGCTGGACACCCTAACAATCCTGTCGTTGAATCAAACATGTGTTTGAAATGTTTGAAACATAAACATGTGTTAAGCATGCTTCTACATGTTTGAGACATGTGTTCAACATTTTCAGACATCTGGAAATTATTTGTCTGGGGTGGACAGAACCCCCACCCTGACACGTCGATCAGTGAATTGTCCGTTTTCGGTTCTCGAGAGGGCGCCGCGGCCCGTCATTTTCCAGGCGTGCGCCCGCCAGGTCTGGGCCCGAGGCCGTATTCACGAAACCACGTTCTGCTGCAGGGGGTTCTGTCCATCCCCGAATTTGGCGGCATGCTCCCTCTCCGCTGATCGTCGTCCCCCGCAGGAGCTCCTCCACCGCAGCGTGGCCGACGGGCCGCCCGAGCTGGCGCCTCCGCCTCCCGTGCCGCGCCGCCTGAGCTCGGAGTTCGGCGTGCCCACGCTCCACCTCGCCCGCGCGGCAGAGGCCTCCCGCTCGGAGGAGAAAGGCCAGAGGCCGAGGCCGGTGCCCTGGCCCGGTGGCGCCCTCTCGTGGGGCCTCCTGGGCTCGGGTCGGGCATGTACCTCTGCTCGGGGGGGGACAGGCCCCCTACCCTGTCACGCCGAGTGGCGAATTGGCCGCTTTCGGTTCGCGAGAGGGCGTCGCGGCCGTCATTTTTGCGGGTCCAGGTCCGTCGGTTTCGGTCCCAGGCCGTTTTCCCTAAAGGGTGGTTTACCAAAGGGAGGTTTGTCCACCGCCGATCTACATGAGGGATATTCAAAAACACTCAAACAATAGTCTGGGTACGATCTGTGAATATTTTCTTAATTTTTTGAAATTATTTTTGATTTTCGTCCAAAATCCCCCTGTAGGGGGACAGGCCTGACCTGACCCTGGGCTCACGGTCCAGGCCTCCTAGATGGGGTCGGAGTAGATGGGGTCGGAGGATCGCGCCGCATCGTCGATGCATCGCCGGTGCGGCTCGATACGGAGCCCGATTTTCTTCACGCGGTTGTCGCCGATGCATCGCCGATGTATCGCTGATGCGGTGTGATCCTCCGACCCCATCTATTCCGAACCCAGCTAGGAGGCCATTATATGGGGAGGGCCCCAGTCGCCACGGCATTCGCCTCGGCATCCCCAGAGCTCCGAAGAGTTATGATTTTTGTGGTTCGATCTGGGTGCTCTGCCTCGATGTCGGCCTGCGGGTCCCGTTGGCGGGCCCTCGGGGCCATCAAGAGCGGATTTGACCCAGGAGAAGGGGTCAGGAAGTCTGGAGCCGCGCATTGAAGAAATCAAATCGGCGGCTGTCAGGGGAATCCTCGTCGGGACGAACCCCGGGAGAGGTCCGAAGACTCGCGCGACCGGTACAATACCGTTTCGCTCGTTTCCCGTTGTCAACGCCATCCGTTTAAAAAAGCGTTGTTCGCCAGTATCGCTAAATGGCGGCCTCGCTTCGTTATTGGTTTCGTTTCGTGTTGCGTGATGCAGTCGGACCGAGGTCTAATATCGAGGTCGGTTCGGGGAGGGTACCCCAGTATTCTTCGTGCTTGTTGGGTTTTCTTGTGCACCCTGGGGAGGTTACCCTTGGATGTTCCGTGTGCTTTTGCCGGCGGATGGTCTCATGCTCTTGAGGGATGCCCTTCCGGCCTGAGTTCGACTGTCGTACGCGCCACTGTTTGTGCAAACGCGCTCGGCCCGCGTCGGGATCTTCCCGTGCCCGCCAGAGGCGCAGATCGACCTGGACGGGTCGCAGCCCGTGCAGGCCTTCCAGCCCTCGAGCGAGTTCCAGGGCGGCAGCTCCGAGCTCCGCGCCCGGGCGGCCGCGGACCAGGGCCTGCCGCCGGGCATCTCGTCTCCCGTGGTCGGCGCGAACTCGCCGGTCTGGCAGAACCCGGTGGACGAGTACCCCGGGTTCGACCTGCCGAAGGAGCATCCGTCGGAGAAGGGTAACCGCATGCCGATGATAATAAAGGGACCCCCCCCTTCAGTGTTTAGAGTTGATTATCGTCGCCCTATACAAAATTCAAGTTGGGCGGCGAGCGCTGAGGCCGAACTTCATTATCACCTCGAAACGCTATGTTGAGATAGCAACATCAAGCGATGTTGATATAGCAACATCAAGCGAAGCGATCACACTTTTTCAGGATGTGTCAAGCGAAACCAATGTATGTAGTATGTATGTATCCCCGCGCGCGCCTGAACTTTTTTATCTCTGGGGTTGATTATCCATGGAAAGGGGAGCACATGAGCTACCCTACATGAGCACTAAAAAAACAAGTTTCATAAAGCGTTTGTAAATTAAAATTGATAGATTTGGAACTTTCCATTTTTCCGTTCTTCTTCTCTTCTTCTTCTTCTCTTCTTTTTCTCTTCTTATTATTCTTCTAGTTTCCTCTTCTTCTTTTATATTTCTATCTGTCCTCACGCTCGCCTGAACTTTTTTATCCCTGGGGTTGATTATCCATGGAAAATTAAGCACATGAGCTACCCTACACGAGCACTTACAACATCAATTTTCATAAAGCGTTTGTAAATTAAAATTGATAGATTTGGAACTTTGGATTTTTCCTTTCTTCGTCCTCTTCGTATTCTCCTCTTCTTCTTCTTTCTTAGTATTTTTCTACTGTATTCTTCTTATTTTATATTTCTCTCTGTCCACCAGCAGGCCCCACCATGGGCAGCGGTGTGGATCGTGGGGTGAGAGCTCTGTAGGTCCCTGCCCTGTCTTTGCCTCGCGCTGAGTGGGTCGGCTTCAGCGTGTCGCTTTGGCCCTACCTGTCTAATCGGTTAGGCTGGCTGCGCGGACTGGCGCCGACAGGGCGACTCTTCCGCAGCGTCTAATTCGGGCTTTTTTTGCTTACTGCATACTCCGCGTACTGCGGGTTTACTGCTGGTGCCTTGCCTGTTGTAGCTAATTAGCTTCGCCTGCTGGCCCAGACGACGCCTACCGCTCTCTGTCCGCCGCCTCGGAGCCGCCGACCAAAAAGTATCTCCACCAACTCATTCATAACCGTCGCCCAGGTGAGTCGAGACGATCAGGGAAGTGTAGGAGCAAAGAGGGAGACAGCCGTCATCGCTCGAAGCAGGAGGAGGGGGATGCACGAGGGTGGAAGGAAAAGGATGATTTAAATGAGGAGGAACCTCTCGGCGTCTCCCAGGAGTCTCCGTCTTGAGCTCTTGTGTGCTCCTTGGATCGTCTTGGGAGCGTGGTGGCGGTTCCGAGAAACTCCTGGGACGTTTTGGATGCATCTTGGAAGCTTTTTGGGGCCTTTCTTCTTTTGCAGGAGGGGCTCTTGTACGCATCTTTTGGGTGTATTTGGGGCCTGCGTCTTGGAGGCCTCTTGGCGGCCCAGGGTGCGTCTTTGAGCGTATTGGGTGCCTCGGGGAGCCTCTTCGGCTCTCTTGGGGATCGCTTGGGAGCCTCTTGGGTGCCTTTTGGGCGCCTCTTGGGGCATCCTGGGCGCCTCTTGAGGCCTTGTTGAGGCGCTCTTGGAGCCTTAGGGGCGCTCTTGGGGCCATCTTGGGGGAGATCGATCAAATAATGGGCGAGCTTCAATTCGGGCTCTCCTTTTGGGGCGCCTCAGATCGCCTCTAGGGCCGCTCTTGGGGCGCTCTTGGAGCGCCCTTGGGTGCTATTGGGGCCGTCTTGGGGCTTTCTTGGGGCCCTCTTGGGCCCTGTTGGGGCCATCTTGGGGCCTCGGACGGCCATCGAAAGCTAAAAGGCGAGACGTCTCACATCATGGATTTCCCTGAACTTGTTGAAGGATGTTGGCCTCTTGGCGGTATCCTGGGGAGGTTCTGTAGCCACTTGGAGCCGTCTTTGACGGTCTTGGGGCCTCTTGGAACATCTTGGAAACCATCTTGGGCCATCTTGACCCATCTTGGAGGTCATCTTGGGCTCTCTGATGCCCTCTTGTAGCCATCTTGGGTAATCTTGTACGCGCCAACCCTTCGCGAAACATCCCTTCCAGGTCCAGGGAAGGGGGTACGGGGGAGGGGTCAAGCTACCCACCCGCCCGCAAGCCGTCTAGCTCACTCCCACCCGCCCTCCCTACACATAAGTAGCACCCGAGCCTGAGCATGTTCAGCGGTCGTCTTTGGATGGGCAGCTACTGGGAACCAAAGCTGACCCCATGTGCGCGACGCTGGGGCGAGGTGCGCCACGCGTGCCAGGGGCGCCGCGCGCGCCAGGCACCCCTGGGGCCCGAACGTGCCAGGCACGCCTGGTGCGACAGATGCGCCACGTGCTCCGCGCTCGCCAGGTGTGCCGCGCACTGCAGCCGCGGCATGAGCGCCGCGTTCGGGGCAAGTGCAGAGTGCGTCAGGTGCGCGTGCGCACGTGACAGCACACATCGGGAAACATGTCGCCCCCCGCCATCCTTGTCTAAAACCGATGCCCATCATTGTGTCTGGTGGGCTTGCGCACAGCAGGCTTCGCGCCACCACCCCCGCCGTTCCTGTCAAAAACCACTTGACAGTGATCGCGGTGTGGCCGCGCATGATCCGGATTTAGCCGCGAGATGTTTTTCCTGTTATTGTTTTTGGTTACGGATGGTAGCCCTGCGCGCAGCAGGGAAAATGCTGACACCCCCGCCGTCCTTGCCAAAAACAGTGCAAAGTGCTCGCGGGCCTCACGAACATGACTCAAGACTTTGCCCCGTGTATACTTTGCACTGTTTTGTGACAGGGGGGTGGGGGGGGGCGCATCGGGTTGGCCGCGCATGCTCCAAATGTGGAGGCACAGTGCGGTTTGTATGGTTTTTTGACCAGGATGGTGGGGGGCGGGTCGGCGCATGGTGTCGGATTGGCTCCCGGTTGCCTGGGGGAGGGGGTGTATATCAGTGAGGAACAGTGATCAAGACACCCCCTAGATAGCAAGCCGTGTAGGTCACTCCCATCCGCTCTCCCAACACATAAGTAACACCCGAGCCTGAGCACGTTCAGCGGTCGTTTTTGGAAGGACAGACCTATTGGGAACCAAATCCGACCCCATGTGCGCGACGCTGGGGCGAGGTGCGCCACGCGTGTCAGGGGCGCCACGCGCGCCAGGCACCCCTGAGACCCGAGCGTGCCAGGCACGCCCGGTGCGACAGAAGTGGCACGTGCTCCGCGTTCGCCAGGTGTGCCGCATACTCCAGCCGCGCCATGAGCGCCACGTTTGGGGCACAAGCAGAGTGTGTCAGGTGCTCCTGCGCACGTGGCAGCACACATCGGGAAACATGTCGGCCCCCGCCATCCTTGTCGAAACCCGATGCCCATCATTGTATTTGGTGGACCTGCGCACAGCAAGTCATACGCCACCGCTTCACAGAGATCGCGGGGCGGCCGCGCATGATCCAGTTTTAGCCGCGAGGTACTTTTTTTCTGGACTGGTATCCCTGCGCGCAGCAGGCAATATGCTGACACCCCCGCCGTCCGTGCCAAGAAATAGTACAAAGTGCTCGCGGGCCTCATGAACATTGATTCCAGACTTTGCCCCAAAGTGTATTTTGTATGGTTTTTTTGACAGGGATGGTTGGGGGGGCGCATCTGGTTGGCCGCGCATGCTCCCACTGTGGAGGCAGAGTGTGTGTTTGTATTGTTTTGTTGACAGGGATGGTGTGGGGGGTGCCCTCATGGTGTCCTCATTTTGCTTGGTTGGCTGCCGGTCGCCTGGGGGGAGGGGGTATATCAATAGGGAACAGTGATGCACCCCTCCCCGAAGGCCCGAAGGGGAAGGGAGAGGGATGGAAGAGGAAACGCTGTAAACCACCTACGCCCGGAGGGCTGTTGGGATTCTAGTCAGAATGCAGCCCAGGAGAGAGAGGTCCAAGGAGTGGCGGTAGTGGTACCTTCTGGCCTCCCATGAACTGGCACCCAGCGCGCATGTCCATGCGACCCCCAGGCCAGATTTTTGTTCGGGCTGGAATCCCAGGGGGGGCTCTGTGGGCGTGTGCTGTCGAGCGGGGGGCCCCGCTCGCGTGCTGGAGCCCCCCCCCCCCGGGGGTCCGACAGCCCGCGGCCAGAGTGCAGCGCGTGCCCTCGAGCCGCGAGGCGCGGGTCAGCACACCCTACGGGTACGGTCGGGCCGAGGTATAGGATCGGGGTCGGTTCGGGGAGGAGGAGGAGGGAGGGAGGAGGGAGGGAGGAGGAGGAGGAGGGAGGAGGAGGATGAGGAGGAGGGAGGAGGAGGAGGAGGAGGAGGAGGAGGAGGAGGAGGAGGAGGAGGAGGGTGCCCTGATGTTCTTCGTGCTGGTTGCATTTCCTTGCGCACCCTGGGGAGGGCACCCTTGGATGTTCTGTTCGTCTTGGCCGACGGGGTGCCTCGTGTTCCTGAGGGGTACTCTTCTGGCCTATAGGTCTAATCGTGTGAGGGCGCGTTTCCCATTCACCGAAGGAGTCGAAGAAGAGCAACCATGCATCAACAGTAAATGATACCGGCTATAAGGGCTAAATCATGATCATAATATTTATAGGGCTATTGGGCTATAGGGCTTTAGGGCTAGTGGGCTATAGGGCGATAGGGCTATGGGGCTATAGGGCGATAGGGCCAACGGGCTATAGGGCGATGGGGCTATAGGGCTGTAGGGCGATAGGGCTATGGGGCAGCAGTACGGCTATAGGGCTGTAGGGCTATAGGGGAACATTCCGGGCGCCGAGGCCCCGTGGCGCGCCAGGGGAGGAGGGTCCAGCGCCGACCCTCCCCGCGCCGGGGTCCGACGCCCCGCGCGGGCCCTCCAAGAGCTCGATGCTCTTGTGCCGCTCGGGCTGCCCCCTGTGAGGAGGTCGCCTACTCCCTGGAGGCCGGCAACGTGATCAAGAGCTACAGCAGCGCTCAGCAGGACGTGAAGCTCCTCACCCAGGAGCCTGTTTTTTTGTTTTAGTCTGGGCGATAACGCTCGTGATCGCCCCCGTCCCTCCCCCCCCGATCACGTCACGCTGTTTCCCCCCCCCGATCACATCACGCTTATCTTCCTCCTCCCGAGGGCCCGGGGGCTCGAAAAAGGCCTCGGGAGGCCGAAACCCGCCATGATGTGATCGGGGGGGGGGGGGGGGGGGCCAACCGCCCCCCCTCCCCGATCACGCCCGTTATCGCGGATAATACAAAAACAGGCTCCAGGTGTTCCAGAACATCTCAAGCGGGTTCTACCTGGAGTCCAACGCTGGCGACGGTGAGTTCAACAGCAACACGCTGCTTCTGGAGATGATGGGCTGGCGCGGTCTGCTTCTGGAGCCGCGCGTGGTCGAGTACTTGACGCTGTGGTCAAAGTTCCGCAAAGCGTGGCTCTTCTTGGGCAGCATCTCCCCCCAGACGCCGCGCCAGCACCACGAGGCTGGCACACACAGCATCATGGTTGGTTTCGACACGAGCGGGAAGGTCGACCAGTTGAGCGGTCACAAGGTGCCCACATACCCGATCTACGACTTCATGTACCAGATGGGTGGGAGGAAGACTGTCGACTTCTGGTCATTGCGCAATGGCGGGTTTGAGGCAGAGACGCTGAACGCGACCTTCAACGGCACGACTGATAATTGCACTGGGCAGGGCATCACGTTTGGCGTTATCATGGTGAGTATCCAGGAGCGCTTGACGGGGCGCGGCAACGACGACTGGGTGGTGTCGCAGTCGAGGGACCTCGCCGAGCAGCGAATATTCTCGATTCTTGTGTACACGGCTGGGTATAGTTTCATTGGCGGCCTCGACCCGCAGTGGATAAACACAGTCGTCCCGCGTTACCGCAACTCGGACTACGTGTTCGTGTGCCCCAGCTACTTCGAGCAGAAGGGACTCGCCGTGCCTGCAGCCATCAAGTCGGCGCCGCCGCCTCCGCTGCCCCTCGGCGCGGGCGCCTGGGACGGCTTCGACTCGTGGGACCCTGGCCTCACCCAGGACCTTGGTTCAAGGGCGCCCTCGAGGGCGCGAAGTTTTCGCGCTTCGCGGTTCGGTTCCGAGTCCTCCTCATCCTCTTCTCCCTTGGAGGGGCGGCGCGAGAGCGAGAAGTTCTTCGCGCAGCGCGAAGCGCGGAGTCAGGCGCCCTTGCTGGTTGATGTTGAAAACGCTGGGGGCTGTTGAAACTGCCTGTCGGCTTTCTACAGAAAAGTACGGGAAGAGACGCCGGCCCAGAACTGCAAACCAAGACGTTGCTGCCCCGCCGAAGGCACCCGAAAACACGCCGGTTTTTAACATCGAGAAAGTAGAACAGTCCCGCGTACGGACGAGCATTTTTGGTGAAAACGTTTTTTAGCCTTTTTTCATCGAGGAACAAGCGTTTTTTTAAGCTTTTTCTATAGTTTTTTCCAGCGAGGATCAAGCCTTCTTTTGAACAGTTTTTTTGTAAACCAATTGTTTCTTTGCGTAGAGGAAAATAGAAACATACGCCCCCAGCGTTTTTAGCTTTTTTCGTCGAGGATCACAGAACCCCTAACCCTGATGACATAGTGAAGACGTGGCCGCACTTAGGTTCACGTCTTTTATCAGGGATACTAGATTTGGGCGGCTTGGTTCGATACATCTACAGACACGACCCTCTATCCCTGATATTGTTGGCCCTCCTACGTTAGATCCCTTCCCAAAGGGTTAGGGCCTTTTTTTTTTTTTTTTTTTTTTTTTTTTTTTTTTTTTTTTTTTGTTTTTTTGGTTTATCAAGCTCAGGACCAGGAGGTCGCGGCAGTCCAGAGCTACATCGAGCTGAGCAGGACCGCCGCCGCGCCTGCGGAGCTCGTCCCGCGGGCGCACAGGACTCAGGAGGTCGTTCTGCGCTGACCGCCGGACCGCCGGTGAGGTGCGCCGGACCGAGGCTCGAGGGAAACGATAGGAGGGGTCTTGCACCGATTCGGGCTCGAAGTTTGAGGTTTGCGGTCGTCGTCGTCGGTCCCGGGCGGCTTTCTAGTCTCGGGATGCCTTCAGCGGATGCGCCTCGCCGAGAGCGTTCTGGGGGTGCTCGGATCGTCCCGCGCGGCTGCCGGAGAGCCGAGTTGCGACCCGAAAGCCACCAGGGACGGGGATTGGCACAGGGGGGAACGCATCGTCCCCCAATTCGGGACGATTGAACTGGGTACGGAAAGAATGGGCATCATGCCCAACAGCAGTTCCTGTTCATTTTGAACAGGACTCACTGTCCGCGCCGCCGCGGAGGTTGTTCTTTGAAGACAAAAAGCCGCCTGCCCAACAGCGGCCCCTTTCGGTTCTGGACAACATTTGTAGTTGGGCATTGTACCCATTTTCTCTGTACCCATTTCGGGCGTCCAAACCAATCGCCCATTCATCACCGATAGGGGCCCGACAGCCCCAGCCTGCCCAGGAGCGCACGGATCCGTTTTCGGGGGACCATCGCCGATCCATCGGCGATGTATCGCCGATTCCAGGTCGATATTTCCCCCCTAGAGGCACATGCCAAGAAACACCCTGCTTGCCTCCAGGGTGCCGTTGGTTTCTTGGGTTTCGATGGTTTTGCTGTGGTAAGGGCGACGTTCCCGCGCCAAAAATCAATGGACGTCCTTTGGTCTCAGGTTTGGGTTTTTTTGTGGAAGGTTTCTTGTGGACGGGTCTCCACAGCAACTCCCCCTATCGTTGCCCCTCAAGATGGAGCTGGCCTTGTTTTGCCCAGCTGCTGTGGACCCCTTTGGCCACCTTTGCCGCGCGCGCGGACTTGCGTGTGGGTCAGGGACTGCCCGAGGCGTTTGGATCGGGCCGCCTGGATCACCCTTCTCCCCTTCCTACCACTACCCTTCTCACTCCATGCTCTTTCTCGATCTTCGCTCCTCCTATCCTGGAGGGCTGGTATTTAATGGCCTTCGGCCCATCCCGCCACCTTGACTGCGTTGTGGGGAGGCCTCTTGGATGCACCTAGGGTCTCTTGGGATGCATCTCGAGGGCCGCTTGGAGGGCTCTTGGTGGCTTCGTGGGGGTTCTTGGGGGCCTCTTGGGGGCCTCTTTGGGACCCATTGGGGTCCTCTTGGGGCCTCTTGTGGGCGTCTCGAGGGCCTTTGGGGGGAGCATGTGGTCATCTTGGGATGGAGGGCTCGAGAAGCCTTCGCTGTCCCCCTCTTAGACCCCTCTGGGGGCCGTCTTGGGGGCCTCTTGGGTCCCTTTTGGGGGCTCTTGGGCCGTCTTGGAGCGATATTTGGGGCCTGTTGTGCCGCCTTTACCGCTCTTAGGACAGAACGGCGCCGCCGCAGGACTACACGAAACACACGAATCGATACGTCGGTGAATTGGTACATCATTTCGGCTTATCGGCAGATGGGTGAATCGACCAATAAACCGAAGTCATTATGCCGGCTGTCTGGTCGATGCGCATATGAACCAGTAAACCACCAACTTTGCGCCCATGAATCACGCATCTGTCTCTCAGTTCAGCATGCGTTCATCGGTTTATCGGCTTGCCGTTGTTTGGTTCAGGACTTGATTTACCAATTGATCGGTCTCGTGTTCTGTGTTTGTTCAATCGCTTCGCTCTTTCCGCTGGTCTATGTTGCATCATTGTTGCTATCTGTTGGCGTGCTCGCTGCGACAGGAAATGAGGAGGAGGAGGAGGAGGAGGAGGAGGAGGAGGAGGAGGAGGAGGAGGGGAGGAGGAGGAGGGGATGAGGAGGAGGAGGAGGAGGGAGGAGGAGGAGGAAGAGGAGAAGGAGGAGGAGGGAGCAGTAGGAGGAGGAGGAGGAGGAGGAGGAGGAGGAGGAGGAGGAGGAGGAGGAGGAGGAGGATTTTCGTTGGCCTCCACGGGCGCCACCACATGAGCGACCGCACGCGCTATCTGTGGGAGAACGGCGCACTTCGCCAGTTTGGCTTGGCCCGTTTCGATTCGCCCGTTCCGCTTCGCTGGGGTTACGGTTTGCTGGGATTCGCTTCACCGGGTTTTCGCTTCGCCAGGGTTCGCTTCACCGGGTTTCGCTTTGCCAGAACTTGCTCCGCCTGTTTCGCCGTTGGGGTTCGTTTCGCCATGGTTCGCTTCGCTTGGGTTTCGCTTCGCCCGTTTTGCTTCGCTGGGGTTGCGCTGCGCTTGGGTTCGCTTCGCCGGGGGTTCGCTTCGCCAGGGTTCGCTTCGCCCACTTCGTTTCGCCGGAGTTTGCTTCGTCGGGGGTTCGCTTCGCCGGAGGTTTGCTTCGCCGGCGGTTCGCTTCGCTGGGTTTTGTTTCGCTGGCTTCTGGAGTAATAGCATGAGGAGTAGCAGTAGCAGCCGTGATACTGGTATTATTCCATCGCTTCGCTCATACCGCCGGCCCGTATTGTGCCATCGCAGGTGTTTGCCTGCGCGTTTGTGACCTCTTCGGGTCTCCTGGGGGCTGTTCGGGGGCCTCTTGGGGCCTCTTTGTGGGCCTCTTGGGGGCCTCGTGGGGCCTCCAGGGGGCCTCCTGGGGGCCTCTTGGGGCGGAAGGCTCGAATTGGTGGTTCGTGTTCCCCCTCTCGGGCTTCTCTTGGGGCCGCCCTGGGGCCGTCTAGGCGGCGTCTTAGGCCGGCTTGGAGCCCTCTTGGGCGGTCTTGGAGCCCTCTGGGGCCCTCTTGGGCGCATCTTGGGGGCATGTTGGGCCATCTTGGGGGCATATGGGGGGGCTCTTGGGCAGTCTTGTCGGGCAGTCGCTGTTTTGGTATTGATCTGGGTGCTCGACATTATTTCTTTGTGCGCGCTGCCCATATTGTAGCATCGCTGGCACTTGCTAGCGTGGTCGGGGGAGGGCATTTGGGGGGCCTCCTGGAGCCGCTTGGGAGCCGCTTGGGAGCTTCTTGGGGGCCTCGTGAGGGCCTTTTGAAAGCCTCCTGGGGCTTCTTAGGGGCCTCTTGGCGCCTCCTGGGGGCTTCTGAAGGCCGAGGGCTCGAAATGTTGTTTCGTGCTCCCCCTCTGGGGCTTCTCTTAGAGCGTCCTTGGGGCCCTCTTGGGCCGTCTTGGAGGCCTCTTGGGCAGTCTTGGAACCCTCTTGGGCCGTCTTGGGGCCCTGTCGGAGGCCTCTCGGGCCTTTTAGGGTGATCTTGGGGGCCTCTTGGGCCGTCTTGGGGCGTCGCGATGCCGAGAAGGTGGAAATGCCAAAATCTCCCCCAAACCTAAGGAATAGCGATGAATTTTGCCCCTTGGGACCCTCTTGGGAGTGCTCTTGAAAGCCTCGTGGGGCGTCTGGGGGCTATCTTGAGCGTCTTGAAGCGATCTTGTGGCATCTCGGACCCTTGGTGTACCATCCTGGTGGCCTCTTGGGCGCTCTTGGCTCTTCTTGAGCCTCTCTCTTGGCCCTTCTTGGGGCTCTCGGGGACGTCTCGGGGCCCTGTTGGTGCGCTCCTGGAGCGCTCTGGGGGCTTCTCCCGGGACCTTGCCGGGGTACTTGTCGTCCAGGGACCCCCAGGGGCCGCCCCGCGCCCGCGAACTAGAAATACTGTGAACCAGTTGCCGGAGATCTTAGCACGGCTCTGGCCCGTTGGGCCAGCGAATTAGTAGTAGTAGCCGTAGTAGTAGTCGTCGTCGTAGTCGTAGTCGTAGTAGTCGTAGTAGTCGTAGTAGTCGTAGTAGTCGTAGTATTTGTAGTAGTAGTAGTAGTAGTAGTAGTAGTAGTAGTAGTAGTAGTAGTAGTAGTAGTAGTAGTAGTAGTAGTAGTAGTAGTAGTAGTAGTAGTAGTAGTAGTAGTAGTAGTAGTAGTAGTAGTAGTAGTAGTAGTAGTAGTAGTAGTAGTAGTAGTAGTAGTAGTAGTAGTAGTAGTAGTAGTAGTAGTAGTAGTAGTAGTAGTAGTAGTAGTAGTAGTAGTAGCGTAGTAGTAGTAGCAGTAGTAGTAGTAGTAGTAGTAGTAGTAGTAGTAGTAGTAGTAGTAGTCGTAGTAGTAGTAGTAGTAGTAGTAGTAGTAGTAGTAGTAGTAGTAGTAGTAGTAGTAGTAGTAGTAGTAGTAGTAGTAGTAGTAGTAGTAGTAGTAGTAGTAGTAGTAGTAGTAGTAGTAGTAGTAGTAGTAGTAGTAGTAGTAGTAGTAGCTAGTAGTAGTAGTAGTAGTAGTAGGAGTAGGAGTAGGAGTAGGAGTAGTAGGAGTAGGAGTAGGAGTCAAGCTAGCCAGCTCGAGCGAGTCAAGCATGGCATGCCCAGTCCCACCCGCCCTCCCACAACATAAGAAGCAAAGCTGGCACAACTGGGGGCCGAAGTCACACCGGCCAGCCGGTTTGGTACAGCTGATGCGGCCGCGATGGCGGTTGCCGACGGGAACTGGCGAGCGCGTGTTGAATGCCGCGCACGCATTGCCAGACGAGTCGAGAATGGCCCGGTACACCGCAGGAAGCCAGAGGTGGCCGGAGGAAGCCCGACGGTCTGACAGGACACCCCAAAGCATTTTTGTGAAAAAGCATTGGGTTTTTGATGTTTTTATGTTGAAATGCTTGCAAACACACGGTGTTCGGTAGGATTCTGACATGAACGCGCGAGTGTGCTCTTTGTGGCATTTTTTGCACAGGATTCGCGGCCTGGGTCCATGACAGAGCATCGCGAGTGCACCGCGCGATGACGTGAAATCGCTGGATTTGACCGAATTCTTAAGATTCCTATGGTTTTCCTATGATTTCAGCAAGAGAGCCCGGGCGGGAAATTTGTACAATTTTTGTGAAAAAGCATTGGGTTTTTGATGTTTTTATGTTGAAATGCTTGCAAACACACGGTGTTCGGTAGGATTCTGACATGAACGCGCGCGTGTGCTCTTTGTTGTATTTTTTGCAATGGATTATCGCCGTGGACGACAGGACGTCCATGTCGAGAGGAAAAAATAAGAAAAATGTTGATTTTGTATTGTTTTTTGCAGGTTAGGATGGGACCCCCCGGATGCGGCCCCTAATGGCCGGCCTGAAGGGGGAGTAGGAGTATATTCTAATAAGGAATAAGGATAGGAGTAGTAGTAGTAGTAGTAGTAGTAGTAGTAGTAGTAGTAGTAGTAGTAGTAGTAGTAGTAATCGCAGTGCTGGTAGTCGTAGTAGTAGTAGTAGTAGTAGTAGTAGTAGTAGTAGTAGTAGTAGTACTAGTGGTTAGCAGTAGCTGTAGTGATCGTAGTAGTAGTAGTAGTAGTGGAATTAGTCGTAGCAGTAGTCGTAGTACTAGTAGAAGTAGTAGTAGTAGTAGTAGTAGTCGTAGTAGTAGTAGCAGCAGTAGTAGTAGTAGTAGTAGTAGTAGTAGTAGTAATAGCAGTAGTAGTAGTAGTAGTAGTAGTAGTAGTAGGAGTAGTCGTTATTAGTAGTAGTAGTAGTATTAGTCGTCGTAGAGTAGTAGTAGTAGTTAGTAGTAGTAGCAGTCGTAGTTGTGGTTAGTAGTAGTAGTAGTAGTAGTAGTAGTAGTAGTAGTAGTTTTAGTAGAAAGTCGTAGGAGTAGTAGTAGTGGTAGTAGTAGAGTAGGCGCCGTAGTAGTAGTAGTAGTCGTAGAGTAGTAGTAGTAGTCTTATAGTCGTAGTAGTAGTAGTAAGTAGTAGTAGTAGTAGTAGTAGTATTTTAGTAGTCGTCGAAGTCGTCGTCGTAGCATAGTAGCAGCCGGCCGTAGTCGTAGGAGTAGTTAGTAGTAGTCGTAGTAAGTAGAGTAGTTGAGTAGTAGTAGTACTAGTAGTAGTAGTGTTAATGGGTAGTAGTAGTAGTAGTTGCAGTAAGTAGTAATAGTAGTAGTAGTAGTAGTAGTAGTAGTAGTAGTAGTGGTAGTAGTAGTAGTAATCGTAGTAGTAGTAGTAGTAGTAGTAGTAGTAGTAGTAGTAGTAGTAGTAGTAGTAGTAGTAGTAGTAGTAGTAG